AAGTCAGGTAAGGAGGCAGGTTCAGAAGCGGAGGCGGTGGGGAACTGGGTTACCAGTTAAGGACCACAATTCGCTATCTGGGGCGGGAGGATTCTCGTGACTGACTCAGCAGGAGTCTTGCTACACGTGGCTGAGCAATAATGGGCACAGAAAACCAACATCTATATCTGGTCAAGAAAATAGCTCAGAGGAGTCTGACTAAAGTTTGGTCACGAGGAGAGATGTTGTCAGCGTTGAGGAGAGAACAGAACAGGCTGGGTTACCTGTGGTCCCTATTTGAGAGACACCGAGGGCTAGTCAAGGACCTAATAAAACATCATGGAGAGTAGGGACCGGGAGTCGCAGGAGGTGAGAATGAATGTGTTTAAATGGAAAATTAACACGGAACCTGAAATTCATACTAAGGAATAAGGAAATTGTCCAAAGGTAATGGAATTCTATGAAAAACGTTTAAACAGCAGAGAGACGAGAGCACATGAGCAAAGAGCACTAGGTGTTCCCGATGACGAAATTTTAAGAGCAAAGGGTAAGTAGGGGGCAGTAGATCAGATTAAATTTGACAAGAGTATGTCAGTAGGTGGCTCAATGGAAAACTATATTGAGCACTAGGATAGAGAACCAAGCAATATTTAAGTAGTGGGTTCAAAGGGATGTATTAATTGTTAGAATTAGGCAGCATTTCTGAATCATGGCACCATAGATACATGGGCCGGGGTACTACATTTTGGGTGTATGAAGACATTACCGTTTTGACTAAGAAATGTTAACTATAAATAGTGTAACTACTAAGAAAGTGTAACCAAAACCCGGATTCAGCTGCCTGGTGCTGCAAAAGCTAAACTCCTGAGACAGGTGCTGCTGAAAAAGGAAAGGGGTTTATTCGAGTGCCAGCACCTCAAGAAGATGGGGGACTCTTGTCCAAAGCCCATCTCCCCACCTCAGTTCAGGCAGAGAGGTTTTTATAAGGTGGGAGAGGGAAAGCAAAACAAAGACATCAAGAGGAGGAGGTTGAAAAGTTCTCTTCATGCGGGCCAGCACAGTCCATTCCTATAAGGACCTTGACCCTGGTCAAGTGATGGAATGGTATGCATCGTCCTGCTCTTCATCATCCTGTTATATACGGTTGCAGGTCAGCAAATCTCCTGGATCTGGGATGAGTAAAAGTTGGCATCTGTATCTTCTCAAGTTAGTTCCTAGGATTCTTATACACACACCAGAGGCCCAGTGCACGAATTCATGCACCAGTGGGGTCCCTCGGCCTGGCCTGCGGGATTGGGCCAAAACTGGCTCTCCAATATCCCCCGAGAGGTGCCAGATCACAAGAGGGCGCAGGCCAGGCTGAGGGACCCCACTGGTGCACAATCCGGGCTGGGGAGAGACGCAGGAGGTTGGCCAGCTGGGAAGCGACCACGGGAGGGCTCCAGGGCGTGCCCGGCCTGACTTGCTCAGTCCTGATCAGCCAGACCCCAGCAGCAAGCTAACCTACCAGTTGGAGCATCTTCCCCCTAGTGGTCAGTGCATGTCATAGCGACTGGTCAGCTGGTTGACTGTCTGCCCCCTGGTGGCCAGTGTACGTCATAGTGAGCAGTTGACAGCCTTAGCATATCATTAGCATATTATGCTTTGATTGGTTGACTGGACGACCAGACACTTAGCATATTAGGCTTTTATTATATAGGATGCTGTTTATGTACAAACTACATATTAGTCAGAGTACAGAGACAATTCAAAAGAATGGTGGGGTGGGTCACAATTCCCCATTGTTACAGAGGGGCATTTGCGCAGTGGTTCGACAGTATAGTTAGTGTGTGAGCTTCACAGATATTTGGGCAAGACAATGCTTTCTCCTGTTGACCTGCTCAGGACCCATACATATAAAGCAAGTCTAAGAGGGCAGATGTAGCCCTGACTGGTTTGGCTCAGTGGATAGAGCATCGGCCTGCAGACTGAAGGGTCCCAGGTTCGATTGTGGTGAAGGGCATAAAAAAAAAAAGAGGGCAGATGTAGCCCGGCCAGTGTGGCTCAGAGTTTGAGTGCCAACCTACGAACCAGGAGGTCCCAGTTTGATTCCCAGTCAGGGCACAGGCCCAGGTTGTGGGCTTGATCCCCAGTAGGGAGCGTGCAAGAGGCAGCCAATCAATAACTCTCTCTCATCATTGATGTTTCTCTCTTTTTTTTAAAAAAAATATATTTTTATTGATTTCAGAGAGGAAGGAAGAGGGAGAGATAGAAACATCAATGATAAGAGAGAATCATTGATCAGCTGCCTCCTGTACGCCCCCCACTGGGGATTGATCCTGCAACCCGGGCATGTGCCCTTGACCGGAATCGAACCTGGGACCCCTCAGTCCGTAGGCCAATGCTCTATCCACCGAGACAAACCAGCTAGGGCAGATGTTTCTCTATCTTCCTTTCCCTTCCTCTCTGAACTCAATAAAAAAATATATATTTTTAAAAAAGAATGAAAGATCAATGGAATGTGACTAAAAGGAAAACAAGATAAGAAATAATGATCAGTTGGATGTATGGACATGGGCGTCCTTACTGAAATAACACCATCTTTCAGATGGCACGGTGGAGTCAAAAGTCCTTTGAAGGAGGTAACGCTCTGTTCTTCCTTATCCAGGAACCAACTGGATAAAGGAGATCATCAATCTGATCCACACCAGGGGAGATCCCAGCTGGGTGCAGTCTGTGGTCAGCTGGGAACGTTCACCTTGGATAGAGACCCCTGAAGGGCTCGAACTTATCAAGAAGCAGAAAGACCCACGCTCCTACACCTCCCACCTCCCCATGCAACTCTTTCCTAAGTCACTCTTCACGTCCAAGGCCAAGGTGAGCTCCTAAGGTAATGTCACTTTCATACTAAGGCCCGGTGCACAAATTCATGCACTGGTGGTGTCCCTCAGCCTGGCCCGCGGGGATCAGGCCAAAAATGGCTCTCCGACATCCCCTGAGGGGTTCCGGATTGCAAGAGGGCGCAGGCCAGGCCGAGGGAGGGCTCCAGGGCGTGTCTGGCCCGTCTTGCTCAGTCCCGATCAGCCGGACCCTAGCAGCAAGCTAACCTACCGGTCAGAGCGTCTGCTCCTTCCGTGGAGCCCAAGTAAATGCCTGCCATATGGCGGGTTCTCCATGAATTCTGTTAAATCAGTGAAGTAGAGAAGATGAACTTCTAGCCAAACACGTCAATGGGAGTGGGGTTTTTCTCCATTGGCCCAAATCCTGAGCAGGGGAAATGGGTACACTTATTCTTGTTATTTTTTCCCCCCCATTTAAGGTTATTTACATCATGAGAAATCCCAGAGATGTGATTATTTCCGGTTATCATTTCCACAAGACATTGAAAATTACCAAAAATCCAAGTTCATTTGAAGAATATTTTGAATGGTTCCTTCGAGGACATGGTGAGTCGGACTCAAAATAAGGTGGGGTTCCTGCCCTTCACCTTCAGGTCTCACTGTCTCATGGTTGATACAACCACTGACAATATGACATCAGTGTCATGAAACCTATAACCCGGATTCTTGGCATCTTGGCATACAGTTTATGGCATCTTGTTATTCACAGAAAAAAACACACACAAAAAAAACCAAAAAACAAAGACATCAACTTCAAACTAGGTGGAATTTAAGTTTAGCTCTTTCATTCCCTAAGGAAATTCTCTTCAAAATAATTCAAAATCATTTTATCGCAGGTAGATCTGGAGCTCATCTTATAGTCTCCTATAGAGCACTCAGGCTATAGAGCTCAGCCATCCTTGCTATAAATGTAAAATTCTAGTTTTTAAAATATATTTTTATTGATTTCATAGAGGAAGGGAGAGGGAGAGAGAGAGAGATAGAAACATCAATGATGAGAGAGATTCGTTGATTGGCTGCCTTCTGCATGCCCCTTAATGGGGATTGAGCCTGCAACCCAGGCATATTCCCTGACGGGAATCGAACCATGACTTCCTGATTCACAGGTTGGGGCTCAACCACTGAGCCACTCCGGCTGAGCTAGAATTCTATTTCTTATGCAAACGAGAGGAAGAGAATTTCCAGCACTTGAGTCACTTGCTCATAAAATAAAATAAATAAAAAAGAGTAAAAAGGGAAACCAAAGACACGCTGAAGTGCAACATCGTTCAATAAAAATAGGACAGAGAAAAAGAAAATTCCTAAGGCGTGGGTAACATGAGCAGAGTTGCCCTGGCAACGAAGCGCAGAATCATCCGCGAGTCACCTCTCTCCTCGCTTCTCTTGCAGTGCCATATGGCTCATGGTTTGACCACATTGGTGGCTGGCTGCAGATGAGAGGAAAAGAGAATTTCCTATTGATATCATATGAGGAGCTGCATCAGGTAATTCTTGTCCCCCAAAATGTCACTCTCCCCAACCCCATTTCTTAGCTGTCTTCCTTCCCTCCGTTCTTCAATGTTTCCCTTCGACACTTTCAATCAGAGCTGATCCCAGAAACGTGACCAATGAGGGTCATTGCCTTTTCTTTTTCTTTCTTCTTTCTTCTTCTTCTTTCTTCTTTCTTCTCCTTCTCCTTCTCCATCTCCTTCTCCTTCCCCCCCCTCCTCCTCCTCCTCCTCCTCCTCTTCTTCTTCTTCTTTTTCTTTTCCTCCAGTTGGCACATGTTCTTCCTCAGCTTTTCTAATTTATGTATTTTTACAACATTTAATGCATGCACTGAGGGAGTGCTCAACAACATCTATACTGTACAGGCGATTGTCAACAATTCTAGGGCAAAATACTGGGAACCGCCGGCAGCTGTGGCTCAGTGGTTGAGCATCGACCTATGAACCAGGAGGTTGAGGTTCGATTCCGGGTCGGGGCAATGTCCGGGGTTGTGGGATCATGCAGGAGGCAGCCGATCCATGATTCTCTCTCATCATTGATGTTTCTATCTCTCTATACCTTTGCCTTCTGCTCTGAAATCAATAAAAATTTTTTTTTTTTTTAAAAATCTGGGAACCAAGGAGCAATGTCAGTTGAGGATAAAGTGTCAGGTGAGGCTTGACTGGGTCACAGCGGGTGCAGGAAGGAGTTACATGTTCCAGATCAACTGACAGGAAGGGATTCCCGTACAAATTCATTATGTCAATATTCATCGGAAGTGTTGGTCGGCATGAGAAGCAGGGGGCTCACCGGGATTTCACGCTGTATTTCTCTCTAAGGAGCATCTGCTCATAACCCTCTCATCACTCACGCAGGCACTCAGACCGCGCATTTCCTAGACCAGTGGTCGGCAAACTCATTAGTCAACGGAGCCAAATATCAACAGTACGATTGAAATTTCTTTTGAGAGCCAAATTTTTTAAAACTTAAACTATATAGGTAAGGTACATTGTTATGAACGTAATTAGGGTGCTCCTAAGGCTTAGGAAGAGTCACACTCAAGGGGCCAAAGAGCCGCATGTGGCTCGAGAGCCGCAGTTTGCCCAGCACGGGTAGACGAACACGACGGGCTAACTCTCTTCCTGATTTCCTTCGTTTTCTGTCTCCTTCTCACCTGCATTCTCTCCTGTCTCTCCCTGTTCCCTTTCCCCCTGTTGTACTTTAATTTCATGTTTTCTCTGTTGTGGTTCTCCTAGGACCTAAGGGCCAATGTAGAGAAGGTCAGCCAGTTCTTGGGCACCAAGCTAAGCCCAGAAGAACTGGACTCCGTCCTCAAGAATGTAACCTTCCAGGCCATGAAAGACAATAAAATGAGCAATTTCTCCCTAGTCCCCGAAATCCATATGGACCACAGCAAAGCGTGTTTTATGAGAAAAGGTAAGAGAGAGGTTCTAACTTTAAGACGTGGGTGAAACGGACAGTGAACGCTTCCCAGCTTCTACTGATGCCCTAAGACAGGGGTCCTCAAACTACAGCCCGCGGGCCACATGCAAATACAAATATTGTATTTGTTCCCGTTTTGTTTTTTTACTTCAAAATAAGATATGTACAGTGTGCATAGGAATTTGTTCATAGTTTTTTTTTAAACTATAGTCCGGCCCTCCAAGGGTCTGAGGGATAGTGAACTGGCCCCCTGTTTAAAGAGTTTGAGGACCCCTGCCCTAAGACATGGGATGAGGAAAATATTTCAATGTACACAGATCACATAAGCGGGACCTGACTTTATAAGCTGAAGGGAGGATCTGGGGGATTTATTAAGTTGCAGGGAAAACTCAGCAACAAGAAGGCCTGCTGATGAGCCACACATTTCTTGTGTAGTATCTGGTCCCGCCCATTTCCTCATCATGTAGATGACACTCCTATCTACATATATAAAAGCCTAAGTGACCATCTGATCATTTGACTGTCCAACTGGTAGCTATGATGCACACTGACCACCAGGGGGCAGTCACTCAACACAGGAGCTGCCGAGCTGTGGTGACTTGGCAGCTGCGGTTCTCAGGTTACGCACCCGAAACCAGAGAGGAGGGAGCCCGATTCCGGGGTGCATCACCCGAGAACCACCCTCTCGCAATCCGGGACCCCCGGGGGGATGTCGGAGAGCCGGTTTGGCCCAATCCCCGGAGGCCAGGCTGAGGGACCCCACCGGTGCACAAATTCGTGCACCGGGCCTCTACTTTTCTATAAAGAGTTTCCACTCACAGTGCTAGTATGAACCCTCCATAGGTAGAGTGACAATCTCCTCACATATATGGACAATGGGAATATCTATTCCACCAGAAGAAGCCTGACCATAGGACCTTTGTGGAGAGAAACAGGACAGAAAAGACCTGTGACTTAGCTCCAGCTGAGACCCCTGTGATAAAACCAAACATGCCCACGACGCACGAGGAACGAGGGTGTGGCCTGCACAGACTGGAATTTACGGTCGAGTGGCTGGGGGCGAACTTGAAGAGAAGATGACACTGGACAACATGCTGGGCTCCCCAAGGGAAGAGCATCCTACGTAAAGGAAGCTGCAAGTTGGAAATTCTGGGTAGTGTTGTTGGGTGCTACGCCAGTCACAGGCGGAGACTTAAAGAAGATTGATTCAGGAGACACAATCTATAGCAGGAACATCGGCCCGGCCGGCGCGGCTCAGTGGCTGAGCGTCAATCTATGATCCAGGAGGTCACGGTTCGGTTCCCGGTCAGGGCACATGTCCAGGTTGCGGGCTCGATTCTCAGTGGGGGGCATGCAGGAGAGACCTGATTTCTGAATCTGATCCGACTCATGTTTTGTGCTTGACAGGAATCGCTGGAGACTGGAAAAACCAGCTCACAGTGGCCCAGCAGGAAGCCTTCGATAAGGTCTACCAGGAGAAGATGGCCGGGCTCCCCCCAGGCCTCTTCCCGTGGGAATAAGGGCCTCACGTGTCTGAATCAGGTGCAAAGGCTGAACTTCCTGAGGTTCTTTGTCAACGGACTGCTCATACAATCCATTATACACTTATTAACACCAACCATTTTCCTTATTAACCTTAAGCCAGTGATTCTCAACCTTCTGGCCCTTTAATTACAGTTCCTCATGTTGTGACCCAACCATAACATTATTTTCGTTGCTACTTCATAACTGTAATGTTGCTACTGCTATGAATCCTCATGTAAATATCTGATATGCAGGATGGTCTTAGGTGACCCCTGTGAAAGGGTCGTTCGACCGCCAAAGGGGTTGCGACCCACAGGTTGAGAACAGATGCCTTAATCCATGTCAGCTTCAGAAAGTGACACACTCAGCCCTAGCCGGTTTGGCTCAGTGGATAAAGCATCAGCCGGCGGACTGAAGGGTCCCGGGTTCGATTCCAGTCAAGGGCATGTACCTGGGTTGCGGGCTTAATCCCTGGACAACCAGTTGACCTGTCTCTCTCACATCAGTGTTTCTCTCTGTCTCTCGCCCTCCCTTCCACTCTCTCTAAAACGATCCCCCTCTTTGTATTTATTGGAGCTGGCGGTACTGGGGCGGCGCTGTATGTCACCCGCCTGCCATTGTTCAATCCAGGCGTCTGCGGGGACCAAAAGAATAACCCAGAACCCAGGAACAAACCGGGTCCCAGTGAGCAATACAAGTTCTACGCAGGGAATGTCGATGACAGCAAACTGAAGAAAGAGGGTCCAGGCTTTTCAAGGAAATGTTTCACCATGAAGCTGCTTATCAGGAAGGCCTTCCAGAAGCCATCCGCACAATTTCCCACCTCCCCAGGGAATAGTTCCCTTCCACATGCAGGAAAGCCTGTTGGTGTGTTGTGTTGGGGTTTACACTGATCAATAAATATTTGAAACTTGAAAAAAAAAATCAATGGAAAAATATATTCTCTCCCGGGCAGCGTGGCTCAGTGGTTGAGCGTCGACCTGTGAACCAGGAGGTCACGGTTCGATTCCTGGTCAGGGCGCATGCCCGGGTTGCGGGTTTGATCCCCAGTAGGGGGCGTCCGGGGAGGCAGCCGATCCATGATTCTCTCTCATTGTTGATGTTTCTATCTCTCCCTCCCTCTCCCTTTCTCTTGGAAATCATTAAAAATATAAAATTAAATAAAATATCCTCAGGTAAAGATTAAGAAAAAATAGAAATCAATAAATAAATAAGGCAGTGGGGAGTGCTGCTTATGGGAGGGAAAGGCTCATGGGATGCCTCTAACCGCCTCCACCACCTCCGTGTCCTCAGCCCCATGAAGACTGAGAGAGAAACGCCCTGGCTGGTGTGGCTCAGGGGATAGAGCGTCGGCCTGTGGACTGAAAAGTCTCAGGTTCGATTCCAGTCAAGGGCACAGACCCGGGTTGCGGGCTCGATCCCCAGTGTGGGGCATGCGGGAGGCGGCCAATCAATGATTCTCTCTCATCATTGACGTTTCTCTCTCCTCCTCTCCCTTCCTCTCTGAAATCAATAAAAATATATTTAAAAAAACAAACAAAGAGAATGAGAGAAACAACATCCCAGTCCAGGGAGGGTCTGGGACCGGCGGCTAATCCCAGTGTGTGCCCAGCCCTCGTCTCCGGGTGCCCCGAGTCTGTGCTGTGCGGATCTCGGTCCCAGCACGTGGCGTCTTTCCAGATGTGCTGTTTGTGTGTGCCCGGAGGCGTGCTAGTACATGTGTAACTTGGGGCTGGGAGTGGAGGGGAGCCCTGGCCGCCAGCCCTGGCCCAGTGCCCACGGGGTTAACACCCCCACCGTGAAGGAGGCCTGTCTACCAAGCACACCGGAAGCGTGGACTTTGGAAGAGGTATGTGTGCGCAATCACAGCATTACAACATGCAGCGTTTCCTCCACGCAGACCTGGCCTGGACAAGCCCACAACCGCAGGAGCATGGCCAGTGGTAAAAACTGAAATTTGCCCTGACTGGTCTGGCTCAGTGGATAGAGCGTCGGCCTGCAGACTGAAGGGTCCCAGGTTCGATTCCGGCCAAGGGCACATACCTTGGTTGTGGGCACATATCCAGTGGGGCAGTGGTTCTCAACCTTCTGGCCCTTTAAACACAGTTCCTCCTGTTGTGACCCAACCATAAAATTATTTTCGTTGCTACTTTATAACTGTCATGTTGCTACTGTGATGAATCGTCATGGAAATATCTGATATGCAGGATGGTCTTAGGCGACCCCTGTGAAAGGGTCGTTCTTCGACCGGCAAAGGGGTTTCGACCCACAGGTTGAGAACCGCTGCAGTAGGGGGTGTGCAGGAGGCAGCTGGCCGATGTTTCTCTCTCATCGATGTTTCTAACTCTCTATCCCTCTCCCTTTCTCTCTTTAAAAAAATCAATAAAACATATTAAAAAATAAATTAAAAAAAATAAAATGGGGCAGCCCTGGCCAGTGTGGCTCAGCGGGCGGGGGCATCGTCCGGCGCACCAAAGGGTTGAGGGTTCGATTCCCGGTCAGGGCACAAACCCGGTCGGGGCATGTACAGGAGTCAGTCGATCGATGTTTCTCTCTCACATTGATGATTCTCTCTCTCTCCATCTCCGTCTGTCACAGCCCCATCGCTCTCTGGGGCTCACACCCAGCCTCCCTCACTGTCACCTGTTGGACCTGCCCCTGAGCTGAGTCTGAGAACCACCCGTCCAGAAGCAACACAGCTTCGGAGCTTGGAGGAGTCATGGCAGGAGGGTGGCACCAAACTTGCGCTATCCGACCACTAGAGGGCGCACGAGCACCACCGTCCAGCAGCTCTCAGAAACGCAGGTCCTCTATTGAGGTCCTACTGTGTGCTGGGAGCACGGAGTGTTACCGCCTCATGTCCTCACAAGCACCTTCCACGCGGCACACCAGGGGAGGGCGGCTCAGAGAGCGGCGCTGTGACTCAGTGTCCCCGTTTATAACACCGGGCAGCGCATCCCTGAGCTGCCAGAAGGTCTCAGTGAGAAAACAATGGGTCACATGTTAGCAGAATTTCTGCTGAGTCATCATCATGTGTGCTCAGCAAATGGCATTTAGTTGTTTAATTTTTTAAAAATATATTTCATTGATTTTTTACAGAGTGGAAGGGAGAGGGATAGAGAGTTAGAAACATCGATGAGAGAGAAACTTCCATCAGCT